GGCATCCTTTGCTCGATTTACTGTCTGTTCTTTGCTTTTTCATGAGGATTTGGGAGGTTTGGAAGACGCCGGTTTCTTGATTCCCTTGCTCGCTCCAATCATGTTGCCAGTCCTGTCATGGCTACAGGAACTCTGAAATTCTGCAGTGTATTCCTAGTTGCAGATTTTGAGCCGTCTGGATTTGATTGATGCATTTAATTTGCCCGCGTTTTTTCAAAGACGAGGACGATGTTTCCCCAGGATTCTTCAGAAAAGCCCAATTGTTTTCTTGTTTTCTTCAGTTGCAAGCTTCTGATATTCTCCCCCATAAAAAGGTTGCGATTTTTAAAGAGTATGTAGTAAGATTTTCAGAACAGCAGTGGGAATCTGTTGCTTCCGTTTACAGTTTCCTTTCAGCTTTAGGTGGAACTTTTCATTTACCGTCGGGTTTTCTGAATCTTGAGAGGCGAGGGAGACAGAGAGATCTACTTTTCCTTCCCACTTGAACTGTTTGAGGTGAAAGGGGCTTAAAAATAGCACTGCTTCAATCCCAATGATTGAAGCCACTGCCTGCTGTAGCACCAGAAAGCAGAATAATTTTATGCTTTGCTAGTACAATCTCAAGTTATCTATTATTACTCGATATTCCTACAAGCATAACAAAGCACTAAGCATGCTTAAGTTGAAAATCATAACTGGGAAGGTTTTTTATATATATAATTATTATGGACTTTTTATGCAACCTTCTGATGCCGCAAAAGAAAAGAAAAATAGTCCTGTGTTCCCAATTTATTAGGAGGTATGGGGGAAAAGGAAATAGAATAGGCCTGGAAGGTTGAAGGTCAAGCAATCAGCTTGCTTGTTCAACATTCAACAGAAGTCCTGCCAGAGTGCCAGTAGGGTCTTTTGGTTGCTTGTGGCGTTCTGTTCCATGCACTAAAACGTGGGGTGTAACACCAAATAAAATTTTGTTTATTTTGATTTTAATGATATGGTCGTTATTTGATTATCATATATGCTAGGTACTGGCAGACACTTACTTTCTTATAAATATTACACACTCAGATTCTATTTTTGCGTTGTTCCTGTTCCTCATGTTTGATTATCTGACACATGACTTCCTTTTTAGCAAATATGGACAGAGATCGGGGAGCGCGAACAAGATAAAGATCGGATGTTCCAGGAACTCGAGGCAGAGTGTATGCGTGTGTATCGTCGGAAGGTCGACAGTGCTAATGCGGATAGAAGCCAGCTCCGCCAGTCAGTGATGGCCAAAGAAGCAGAGCTTAAAGCTTTAGTGGCTTCGATAGGTGAAAATACTACACAATTTAAGGTATAATGCATATCCTGCCGTAATCTCTAATTTCTTTTCTTATGCAAGGCCTCTAACCAATGGACCTCCTTGAATATGAGCTCATGTGTCATGTTATGATTTGTTTACAGAGACTGAAATATTGGTAGTTCATTGTGTACAAGAAGTAATGAAATCATTGTTGATGTCATGCTGCACCTTGTGCTGAATATATCGTATTTGGCAGTTTGGCTGTCATTTTTAAGCTATTGATGATAAGATGTGACATGAATAACTAAGTCAGCATGTTGGTTCGTGGTCATATGGTGGATGGAGATGGGTAAATATTAGACGAAAAGAAAAGGCAGTATAGTAATTGGTTATATTCTGTAATTCTGTATAACAGCTAACCATCCATTTAGTCAAAGATTTATTGAATATGATGATCTATTATTATTCAAGGGTACCTGTATTGCGCATCTAGAATTTCCATCTCCATGCGAGGTCGACCTATGCAGCACCTTCCAAAGGCGATTGCTCTTGGAATGGTTAGGAGACTTTACTGAAGTACGCCAAACAATGATAAAATACTATGATTTTGTGTATCATAGATATTTATCTGTTTTGTAATCATGAAGATTCATGTTTAGTGGTGCTGGAACCAAAAACTCTTTCAACTGATTCCATTGTACAATATGAACAAATAGGTATATTACGTTCTTTAGTAATATGAATTCTCATTTTCAGGTGAATGAAAAGCATGCATCGTTGAAAGAACAACTTGCTGCAGTGACGCCTCTCTTGGATGATCTTAGGGCCATGAAAGAAGAAAGAATCAAACAGTTCTCAAATGTGCAATCGCAAATCGAGACGATAAATGCACAAATTTCTGATCACAATTATCAGCATGATGATGGTTCGTCCAAACGTCTGAACAATGATCATGACTTGTCAACCAGAAGACTTGCTGATCTTCAAATGCAGCTACGCAATTTACAAAAAGAGAAGGTAATAATGATCTTGACTAAAATACTACTCCCTCTGTAAAGAAATATAAGACGTATTAGAGTGATCTAAAATGTCTTATATTTCTTTACAGAGGGAGAGTGATCTAAAACGTCTTATATTTCTTTACAGAGGGAGTACTTAGTTGCATATGCCGCTTCAATCCAGTCATCAGAATCAGATAGGTTTGACCGTTTGCGTAGAACCATTAAAATTGTTTGATTGTACCTTAACTTCTCACACAAAGGTATTTGTAAAAAAATAGCATTTGTGTGTCATCACCGATGTACGCTTCTCTACTGCTTTAACTAGAAACATTTGTTGCCAACACACTAATAGCTATAAGAAATATACAGTTGAAATGGCAACTCATGCTATTTTTGTTAAGAGCATTGCTATGCATACAATTATTTCCGTACAATTTTCATACGACACTGTAGATCATGCCGTCCTTGTGTCAGAGCAAGCCACTGCCCACCACCCGATCAGAAATCGTACAAAAATCGTATAACTAAGCATCGTACATGCAGCAATTTTGTTTTTTTAAATTCTTTTCTTGGCTGTGTCAGATTAATAAAAATATTTTCCCTTTTTTTCAGTCTGATCGCCTTCAGAAAGTATTTGTATATGTGGATGAAGTGCACTGCCTATGCGCTGTGCTTGGGATGGATTTTGCAAAGACGGTAAAGGATGTGCATCCAAGTTTGCATGGAACCAACTCAGATAATTCGACGAATATCAGTGATAGCACCCTTGAAGGTCTTACTCAGACTATCCTGAAGCTCAAAGCAGAAAAAAGGACCAGAGTCTCAAAGGTGATTCCTCTTAGTGAAACTATGGCAGTGATTAGTTTTTGTCTCGTATCCTCTCTAACTACTTGTATTGTGTTGATGTGTTCAGTTGCAAGAAACTGTGGGGAAACTCCACAAGCTATGGAATCTGATGGAGTCAACAGAACAAGAGAGGAGACATTTCAGCGAAGTAGCCGCTGTTCTTGGATCTTCTGAGGAAGAGATCACTTCTCCTAGTGTCCTGTCACTGGAAACGATTCAGGAGGTTTGCCAGCTTTCTATTGACTTATTCATTTTTTTGTAAGCTGTAATTCAAACTTATAGTATCACTATGGTTCTTCAGACAGAAGAGGAAGTCGAAAGACTAACTAAGCAAAAAGCGAGTAGAATGAAGGAGCTTGTTCTTAAGAGAAGGGTAGAGCTAGAAAATATCTGCAGAAATGCACATATGGAGCCTGATACGAGCACAGCACCAGAGAAGATTGTTGCTCTAATTGATTCTGGTATTTATCCCACTGATCTCTTTTCTCTCGCGCATACGGTCTGTAAAATGCCCCTGCTGAATATCTTGAACGATCCTAGAACCTTCTCACTTACAGGTCTAGTGGATCCTTGCGAACTTCTTTCCAACATCGAAGCTCAAATTGCAAAAGCAAATGAGGAATCTTATACGAGGAAAGATATCATGGAGAGAGTAGACAAATGGCTATCGGCCTGTGATGAAGAGACTTGGCTTGAGGAATACAACCAGGTGTGCTTTTATTCATGAAATTATGCTATATTCAGATAAAATTTGGCTGACATCATACAGTGCAGGTCTGCTATGAGTTAATTAATGTCCTCTTTAATGTTGCATATGTCCTACTGCAGGATGATAACAGGTACAGTGCGGGCAGGGGTGCCCATTTGAATCTCAAGCGTGCAGAGAAAGCGAGGGTGCTCGTTCAAAAGATTCCAAGTGAGTCTTCGTTTCTTCAGTTGGAGGGCACTGTAGTGACTTCCATATAGTGTTTTTGATTCAACTGAGCTCCATGATTCATAAGCACAACCTACCTCTTAGTTTTTTCAAAAAGATCCACGTCGCATTTGGTATGTTTATGATCATAAGCTACATCTATTCTGCAGCTATGATTGACAACTTGATAGACAAGACATTTGCCTGGGAGGATGAAAGCAATACACCATTTCTATATGACGGGGTAAGTCACTGAGCTAGCTCACCATAATCATCAGAAATCGAGGACACAGCTCTGATGCATTGAATTTGCATGTGAAGGTTCGTCTGGTCGCCATTTTGGAAGAGCAAAAACTCAGAAGAGTACAGAAGGAGGAAGATAAGAAACGATACTGGGTACAAATTCCACATCCTGTGCTCTTTCTGGCACTACAATCACAACAAATGTCATCAGTCTTGTTCATTAACTCTTGCCACAGGACCAGAAGAAGCTGCAGAATCTATTGCTTAAAGAGAAGGAGCTGATCTTTGGGTCCAAGTCTGTTCCGAGGAAAACAAGCAGTTTTAACAGGAGGACGAGTGGGCATCACCCAAATGGGAATGGGGCTGGTTTCATGACTCCGATGCCCCGCCGGGTGTCGGCAGGCAGTGCCACACCCGAGCTTTTGACACCACGATCGTACTCTGGCCGGTACAACAATTACTTCAAGGAGAACAGGAGGATGACGGCGGTGCCACTCAACTTCTCGACAGCTTCCAAGGATGATAGCATGTCATCATTCGCCTCCATCAGCGGCTCGGAGCCTGGTTCTCCATTAGTTTTGCACTGAGTATGATATCGCCCAACATTTTGTCACAAGTGATTTCCAGGATCTGTTGCATGAACTTGTGCTGATCGTGATCTGTAAACATGACATTTCTGATCAGGGAAGAAGACTTTCTTGGCGGTGAGGGTTGCGGTGAAGGCTACCGTCAAGATTGGGCAATTGTGTGCTAGCTTTTGACCATGCTAATGTGTGACAAAGATTGGACAGGATTTAGATAAGATTGCCTGTAGATACATGACCTAGCACTTTTGTGGTGGTGTTGTAATTCGAGCTGCGAGTTTGATCGGTGTGTGGTTAGGGAACATGAGAAAGGTGTCAATGTATTTGTTTTGTGCTAATTGTTTTTCCTTCATAGTATTTGTAGTTGTGTATCATTTTTTTGGATGTGAAAGAAGAGATGGTCCATTTTCTTTCTTCCATATATCACATAAAGGTGTTGTATTCTCTATTCAGCCTACATTGCAGGTTGAACCTGATGTATTCCACTTTATCTTTTGGAGCATGTATTATTGCCTATAGGAATTACTAGCACAAATGCCCGTGCGTTGCAACGGGAATAGAAGCGAGGAGTTCGTTTCGGACACACCAGAGTCCAATTCTGGCTCCTCATGCTACCGTCAAGAATCACGGTTCTTTCTTTGTGGTTATCTTTCCACTCTCAGAAGCACACTATCTTGTTCCGCTTCGCCATTTACCCGGTCTTGTTTTTTTTTAAAAGGGGTTTTACCCCAGCCTTTGCATCAGAAAGATGCATATGACTCATATTATTAAAAAAGTTCAGCAACAAAGTCGTCAAGTAATGAGTTGCGAAGATAAACAAAAGGCTCGAAAGAGCTCAAACCGAAAGCCACAACCGGCTGGCAAGCACAATAGGAGCACTACATGCCTATCCTATTACATGACCGCCATCCAAACCGGTTGAAAATATCCCGCGCTACCATCTCCCGTCGGGTAGACGCAGTAACCAAACGCTCCCTGGCCTCCGTCGGAGTGAGTAGCGACCACATACGGATGAATGCCGTGGCCCTGAAGATAACCTGCAAAAAGTGAATGTTTGTTGATCTGTTAAATACTAAATCATTTCTGCAATTCCATACTGCCCAAAGTAAAGCACAAACGCCAACACGAATGTGTCTTGAAGTATCGGAATCAACCCCATCAAGCCATGCTCCAAATAACATGTTGATAGAGGTGGGCTGATTGATATTGAACGCAATATGAATCGACCGCCACAGAATCTTAGCCAACGGACAATCGAGAAAGAGGTGTTTGATGCTTTCGTTATGATCGCACAAGCTACACCTAGATGAGCCCACCCAGTTGCGTTTTGCCAGGTTATCCTTAGTCAAAATGACTTGTTTATGCACAAACCACATAAACACTTTGATACGTAAGGGAACCTTTACTTTCCACACGTGAATCGAGGAAGGGACAGCGCTAGAGTTAATGACATCCAGATACATAGATTTAACCGAGAACACACCGTTCTTAGTAAGTTTCCAATATAGCTGATCTGGTTGCTGGGTCAACCGGACCTCCATTGTAACGCCCCGGATCCGATGCGCCAGGTGTCTGCCAGTTATTCGCCGTCGTTGCCATGTCATTTGCTTGCGTGTTGCATTTTATCATGTCATCATGTGCATTTCATTTTGCATACGTGTTCGTCTCATGCATCCGAGCCTTTTCCCCGTTGTCCGTTTTGCAATCCGGCACTCCTATGCCCTCCGGCATTCCCCCTTTTGTCTCTCGTTGTGTGCAGGTATTAAACGTTCTTGGAATGGCCCGAGGTTTGCCAAGCGGCCTTGGTATAGCACCGGTAGACCGCCTGTCAAGTTTCGTGCCATTTGGAGGTCGTTTGATACTCCAACGGTTAACCGGGGAACCGTAAAGGCCTCTTTTGTCTTGCAGCCCAACACCCCTCCAATCTGGCCCAAAACCCAGCAAACTCCCCTCCATGCTCTTGGTCGTTCGATCACGATCGTGTGGGTGAAAACCGTGCCTCATTTGGACTCTCCTAGCTCCCAGAAACTATAAATACGCCCCCCCGTCCATTTTCGCGGATGAAACCACCCCTAACCCTAGCCAAACCCCTCCCCGCCGCCGCCGGACACATCCGGACCGGGCCGGACATGTCCAGCCTCCACCTCACCCCAGCCAACCCGCTCGCGCCACATCACCCCACCGCCGCTCTCCTCCAATGCCGCAG